TAAGAGCAATATCTCTAGTATTGATGTCATTGCCGTTTTCGCAATCCAATTGAGTTGTATAATTGGCAATTGCTAATCGTGTAATAATAATATTATATAAAACATTTTAACAATTAAGAAAAAAAAAATAAAAAAAAAATATAATTTATTGTTTTTAAAGAAAGGAACACTTACCACCGACCACACAAACACCATCAGCACAATCAGTAGCCTAAAAAATAATTATACGAGAAAAAAGTTAAATAAAAACACAAACACAAAACACAAACACGTGAAATTTGAATTTTTTTTTTAATTACCTCATTGACAGAACATTCTTTGCCAGGGTCATCGTGAGTATCCATGAAATGTAAAGGAGCACTCCAAAAAGCAAATGGAGATCCTTTTTGTTTTCTAACAGTGTCGGCCCAAATACTGGCAGGAGCTAATTTTCCACCAAAAGACGGATCTTGAAACAACTTTGCAACTTTCAGAGCTACGCTCGGTTTCAAAACATTTTGAGCAATTTCACCAACAGTCTTGTGGCCATCTTCGCCCCAAGCATCTACCATTTGAATAATGGCGAAGTTTGTAATAACAAATAGAAAAATCAAAAAAATCGATGAGTTTTTCATTTTGAAAAAAATAAAGTTGTTTATATTATAATAATGATTATTATTATTATTATTATTTTTATAATGAAAAAGGATAGAATTTAATTGGTGAATGGGAGAGAGTGTACGAATGGGCAGATGTTAATTATTATTGTAACTCGAAATTTTCAAAATTTTAATTATATAATAATTAAAAAAAACCACTTCTCTTGCCTGATTCTTTTCAGTTCCTTCAACCTTTATTTTTATATTTGGTTTTTGAATTTTATTACCCAAATCTACTGCTGCTTTAAAATAACTACAAGTCAAAAATCCCTCCTATCATTATAAAAGAAACGATAAATTAATTTTTATTCACACTTTCATTCTTCCATATACCACTATTATATATTTACTTTACTTACGATATTATAACAAATGTTATTATTGTTATTGTCTTTTGATTTTGATGAAAAAAATCTCATCTTTTTATTTGGCTTTAATAAATGATTGAAGAAAATATTTATATGATTATTATAAACAAACGATCGATACGTCATTTTCTTTTCTCTGTAAAAATATTTACATTTATCATGTGATAAATAACTATAAAAAAAAGGTTACCCAAATATATTTTTTGCAATTTTTTTTTTTTCCTCCAAAAAAGAAATAAATAAAAATGTCAACAATAGACATTGGAGCTCACACAGTGGCACAATTATTTCAACTAGAACAAGATTTTCAATTTTTAACATTTGACAATTCAGTAGCATTAGAATTGGGCTTATTAATTTTAAAAACCGCACAACAAAAAGGACTTTCGGTTGTAATTTCTATCATGATGAATCAACATCTTCTATTTCACTATTCAATGCCTGGAACAAAACCTATTGACGTGGAATCATCAAGAAGAAAAGCCAATGTTGTAAATGATTATCATCACTCATCATTATATGTAAAAGAGTCTTTAAAACAAACCAAGAAAATTGCTACTGAAGATGATGATGATTTCAATATTAATAAAAAAGACTATTTAATTAGCGGAGGAGCATTCCCGTTAATTATTAAAGGAGTTGGTGTAGTTGGATCAGTCACAGTCAGTGGATATTCATGCCTTGAAAATCATGAAATTGTGGTTTCATCATTAAAAGAATTTTTTGGATTAGAAAAAGAAGGAAAGAACAAAGTTGAATAATGAATATATATGCTCAAGTGCGTAAGCATATATAAATATATATAAATGTAATTTTTTTTTTTGTATAAATAATTTTTAAATGATTGAATAATTTTATTATTAAATGATTTATTTAATGACTTAATAATTTAAATCATTTTTTTATAAATACTATCTCATTCTGATTCTTATTTTTATTCTTACTATCATTATCATCATCACCATCTCCATACTTTTCTTTGTATTGTCTTTCAAGATATTTTTGATATTTTAATATTTTAATTAAAGTAATAGAAGAAGATTCACCAAACTTCCAATTGTTGGAGATTCTTTCTTCTCAAAATACTATCAGCAAAATTTACATCAATTTCATTATTTGTAGAAGCACCTACCTACAGTATATTCAAGAATAATGTGGATTCACCAAAAGCCAAAATTTATTGTTTCAACCACATGTAAAGTTGATATTATTACTTTTAGAATTGTTCGTTGTAACATATCTTGTAAATTTTCAAGAAAGAATCTTTGATTATTTTTCCATCAGATTATTTGTGTCTGCTATATTATGGGCTTGGGAAGCTTGTGATAATTAGTGAAAAGTGTAGGCTCTTCTGTGGGCTTGGGAAGCTTGCGACAGATATCAGGAGGGAAGTTGGTCTAAAAACTAGTGTGTTTTATTTTGTTATTGTTGTTCTAAGAATAAAATTTATCAAATCATTATCAACTTTCCAATTAAAGCCCAAATACGAATTAATGATGCAAGTTTGTCATGCTATTGTAAATCTTCTAATGACCTAATAACCAATAATAATTGAGGCTATATTGAATTTGATTGGTTATTTTAAATATCTTTCATGATAATAAAAACAGCCAAACCTCTCGAAAGGTTAGAACCCTCAATTAAACCATTTATCAATTGACATTTTGTAATCACAAGGATTAATTACACATAATTTATAAAATAAATACAATTAAGAGAAGTGCAAGACGATCTTGTGTCAGAATCAATTGATTCATATATTCATGATTTGAAGACATGTTTTTTCATGCTTTTTTTCCACCTGATTTTCATTCTCAATATAATTATCTATCTTGGGAAAAAACTGTATGATCATCAATAAAAAAAAATCAATAAATGTTTAAAGGATTTTGCAAAGCGTTGTATAGGAATACTCAATACTCACTCAATATCCAATATTGAAGGTTGATTAATGATGAACATTGAATATTGAGCATAGAGAATTGAGTTCATTTTTTTAAAGCGTAATTTTGGGGGTTAAAATTTCAATTGAAAATGCTTTTTGGATTTTGATCCATTCTTTTTCTAGAGAATAATCAAAAAAATTAAAGATGGGTTCGGATTAGATGTGTAACTATAGCAGTAAGCTTGCTATTACCCACATCAATGTTGTAGATGATCGATTATCGGTTGCCTATTATTATTGTATCCAAACCGTGGCTCAAAATTGTACTGGTTGAAATTCTCAATTTAATAATATGTATGGTTTTTACTTATTATTATTCTTTTTTTCTTTCTAGCGCTGGTCTATTTGTTACCCAGATGAAGCATTGTTTTTTCAGCGGATTTATTGGATTCGTTGGATTTTTGTATTTGTTGGATGCTAATATTGATGTTAATTGTATATAAATGTGTATTAATGTTGATGGAACGAATAATTGATAATATTTCTGTTTTTTTAATCCACTATTATCACAACTCGCCTTAAACCAAAAAACTTTTTTAAAAAAATGAATGATCTGTTATGCGAACGTATTAATATAGTTTCCTGATTAAGAATATTTGATTTTTTTTTCACAATGAGTTCAATCTTGATCACCTCAAAAATGTCAAAATCCGAATAAAGCAATTGAAAGCAACGAGTCCACATCGAGGACGACAGATTTATATTCAAAGGGTTCATGGGCCAGGTTCTTTAGTATCGACATTTGACGTCAACACAATACTTCAAACCACGGGAAGGTTCGTGGTGGAGGACGGAAAGGAACACGCACAGATGTTATTAATAAAAAATCGATTTGTGTGATTAATTTTAATACAGTCTAACCTCGCCACAGCGGATTTCGTCACAGCAGATTTCTTGTCACAACGGATTTAAGTATTGGCCCCTTTTTTTATTAATAGTCATGTGACATTTCCCTGAGGCTGCTTTTCTATATGTGAAAATAAATTCGAAATTCGTGTCACATGAAGTTTTTTTAAAA